CTAAACCACACAATTATTCTTTCTCTACAATAGTAGTGAATAATCTTGTTCAATTCAGATGGGTTCTTGCGTCTCCTCTTCTCACAACAAGAGCTCCTCCGCCTCTGAATCCGTCGTCAAGCTTGCCGCTTTAATCTCTAAGCCCGACGCGATCACATCTCCCGTCAAGAATGACGTCAACACTCCGGTGACGATCAACGCCAACCCTATGATAGATTCCGGTCGTCGGGATTCATCAGGTATATATATATATAATTCTTTGCGTTTGGTTTAGTTCTTATGCGTTTATTTTATACTAGTATATATTTTGTTTTATCTAGAAACAATAATTAAAGGTTTAAAAACTTCTAGCTACGAAAGTAGTACTAATTAAAGTTGTTAATGGCTGTAATCGATTGGTTTGCTTTAGTGCCGACAAATGTAAAGTCGTTTGCCTTTTTTAGACCCAATCAAGATGTAGGAGTTACAAATGGATTACAAAACCGTATACTATAAGTAGATAAAATTGTAATGATCATCACCATGATCATAGACATGGGTAATTGTGCAACAATGTCTATTAATCCCTTCTATGTAGCACATGGATGGACAACGGTGAAGCGTACGATAGAGGTTAGAATGTCTTCAAGGCATGATTTATGGGCCACACTTCAAGTTGCAACTTTCGTGGATAAAACTCTTAAATGTTCATAAATGTATGATGTGGAAATGTATTGTTCGAAAATTATAACAACCGCATAGTTAGGGGTGCAGCTAGTGCCCTCCAATTTTTATAATCATCTTCTTTATTTATGCGATATATAATTATATGAGCAAACAATGATTTAGCTTGGATTACCTCTTAATTAAGGTTATAAAGAGGAGATGATGTTTTTCGATTCTAGAGGGTGGCTTGATTCTGACTGTGAAGATGATTTCATGAGCGTTGATGGTGGTACGTTTATTCATAACTTCTCTTTTTTTGTAAATCTTGATATTTTCAAAAATAATGAATTTACAACATTTGATACTTATAATTTACTGCAGAATTTACGCCGTCGCGAGGAACAACACCGGTGCATCACAAATTTTGCGACCAAACTCCTA